GACAAATCTGAGCTGTTCTTTCTTCAAACTGCCCATGACATTTTCTTAACACAAACAGCCCTTAACCATCAGCCTTGGCTTTAGCGCTGCCACCCTTTCCAGCAGGCCCCCGCCAGCAACCTGTCAGGTCAATCAAATATGACCTTTGGCAGTGTACATCTGATAAAGTTCCTCACTTTACGTGGTGACAGCCTGTATTGGAGTAATTTACCAGGCTTCAATAAAGGAGCACTCGGCTCGTTTGCCTCCTCTGGCTCAGTGGTTTGTGACAGGCGGGCAAGTGGAGGAGCAGCCCAGTCACTGACCCGCCATGCTTGATGTTCATCACAATGACACTGACCTACTTAACTGCCATCTCTTGGATGTCAAAGAAATCACAGCCTGACATTTAAAGAAAAGCTTGGTCAATATTAGTCAGACATGACAAATAATAACCTGCACTTCTACTGATAAGAGCGACTACCGGCTAAATAAAAGAGAAAAGAGAAGAATGACTCTTCAGTGGGTAGCACTCGTGTGTTTCCTGCATCTGATTGGTGTTGTCTTTCAGAAGGTAGGTTCATTTTTTACAAAGTGTGCTCACAGCATACATACACGCCTAAGTAGAGGCCATCAAGGCCAACGTCTCAACTTGAATCAGACACAGATTGATGGTGGTGAGGCGAAGAAGGCTTCTCCGCCGCGTACTTAGTAGGAGGCGAATGTCGGAGGCAGTGACCCGGAGCAAAGGTCTCATCAGCGCCTGTCCCCGTCTGAGGCCCCTCTGCCTGTCAAAGTCACATTTTAATCGCAAACATAATTTGAATTCACACTAATGAATACAAATGACTCCCAGGACTCCACAAGCTGAGAGTAATAAATTATTATCGCTGCTAACAATCGCATTTCTGAAGCCCTTTTTCAATTAGCTGCCCCTGTGGAGATGATCATGGAGGGCCGCTCAAATGAAGATAAACGACGCCCCTCGCAATGGCGTGCGTCTGCTCCTCTGATTTAATAGCTTTCTAATTCAGGAACATCTTCGACGTGACGAGGCGTGAGGCTTTTCTTTCTGTCTCCAATCAGAGCCTGATGAGAAAGTCACGTAATTGAAAGCAGGTGTTAATCAACCTTGCTCTGATATGGCGCGTCATTTAGGAGGGAGTTTGACAAAGAGAAGATCGTCCTTGCCACTCAGTGACACAGACCATTCAGTTCACAAAGAGAGCCTTTTGCTGCACTCTGCACTTTTTCTAGTGCTGTCTAATAACCATTGATTCAAATATCCACATCACATGATCAACTGTTTTTTTTATTTGAACTGCCACCTTCAAGAGAAGAATAATTAAATAAGCACATGAGCATCTCATTCACCCTCTATTTAGCAGATTTTTTAACAGAACATCATGCTAAACCAATGATTATGCCCATTGAAAGGTGCTCATTTACTCTGCTTTGAGTGGCCAGTTTATAATTGTAGCAAATTATAGTCCTGGAAAAAGGCCTTTCCTCCATCCTGTCGATGGGCTCCAGAGCACAGAACCAAACCAAACGAAAATATAACACTGTACAATTTCTCCAGGCTCTGAAAAATATAATTAATGTATATGTTGCTAAATGCTTCTGATGTATAGCTTTGTGATTAAGACAAATCAATGCAGGCTGACATCTTATTTTAAACAAAAGGCTCCGCAACTGTAGCCTATGCATCCTTTTGCTGCATCCTAAAATTATAAGGACCTATAGACCACAGTCAGTGAGCAATTTTAGATTCAGTGTATGCATCTCACAATGATGACCGATTTGTGCGTTGTTTAGCAACCATTGCAAACTAAAACATATATAACTAAGAATGTACATCTTAATGGGATATTTCCTGCTCTTTTGTGCAGTGTGTGTTAGGGACGGACAACTCTTTGAATATTAATTTTAGTATTAATAATACCACAAATAATGAATAAGTTGGCTGCCACATCATGCTCTAATAACATAAACTCTATTCTCAGTGCATGCATGCGGAAAACATTGTCAGGGAAAATTAATGACACAACAAATATTTCTTTCATTTACCATGAAAACCTGTCTCATGTTTGACATGCTCCTGGTAACTCAATTTAACTGGAAATGTTAACAGTAGATGCTTAATATTTGGTGGAAATGCAAATGTATGTAAAAGTGACCTTTTATTATTGCATTTGGACCTCCCGTGCATGATATTTATCTGTCTCATTTATATAATTAACATTGGCATTGGCATACAAAACACATATATTAGCCTGTTTATAATGTCTGTGTGTTGTGAAGGGATTCTTCTTGTGTTTTATGTTTGAACCAGATGGACAATAGAGTAAATGACACAAATTCACACGTCACAAGTCACAAGTCTCGGAAAATGTAATCCTTTTCAAGAAGCACCACTGAATGTAATTCTAGACCCCACTTACAGTTCACCATACAAAACCCAATAGTGAGCCCAGCTAACCCTTACATAACTGATTCAAGATAATTACAAGTGAACATACAAGAGAGGATCATAATCATAATTGGCTTCCTTTGACAAGTCTGTGGTTTTTGAAAGCCTGGAAAGCCACAAAAGTGACATTCTGCTCAGAGAGGGATGAATGGCTCTCTGTGTCTCTGTCAGTGGGCTGTCATCACAGAGGAGCCTGTGGGGTCAACTTACAAAGGACACAACAACTCAGGAAAACACATTAATGCTAATTTATTTTGCTACCTCAATCTCAATCAAAAACCACACTTTGGAATGTAAAGACAATTCCTTTCCTAGAAACTAGTTTCTGTAATGTAACACAATAAGCATCTGGGGAAACTTTAGGAAGTGATTCAGGCTCACTGTATTGGTTTACTCTCAGGGCTGTTAGAGCGTTGCTTTCAGCAACAGCAGGCAGTGGTTTTCAGCCAAAAAGCTATGAAAAACGACTGCCCGGCAATAACATTAGTAAAAGGAAAGTATGGCAGGATACGTTAAGTAAACATTTTAATCCAGTGGATAACCTTAGAAATGCATTATCACAAAGCAAAAAACAAGGGTGTTTTTCTTAACTCATGGCAACTTTTAAAGGTACATTTCACATTACCATAACAACATTTTACAATTATAATACAACATATAAGTTAATACACGAAAAATGTAAAAAAATCACATGTTTATGTAAATGTATCACATATGAAATACAGTTTCAGGTACTGTTTTATGTATTATATTTTAAATCATCCTTTTTGAGGACGTTGATTTGACTACACATTTATTACAAATTGTGTTATTAATGTGTGAAATTTTTCCAACAAAAGATCTGCTTTTTTGTGTGAGGGATAATTAACTCAACATTTCTCAACCACACTGCATGGGGCCATCTCAGAGCACCCATTAACGCTGTCTAAACTGTCTAAACTTTATTAGCTCGAGTTTAGTTGTGCAGGCTTATCAGAAATCATGAGCTGGAGTTCATCCGTGTGTTTTTCTGACAATCTCAATGGTCTATGACGGGGCCTGTTTTGCAAGCATCCTGCAGGGTAATAATTCTCAACCCTCTTGAGCTTACCTGCTGTGGGAGGGTCATACTTAATCTCTTTAAACCTTAAAGACCTCTCAGGGAGGGGAGCCATTATGACAAATGTTTAGTGTGCAACCAGGCCTTGTGTTAACCCACAGATATTGTTTTCTTAAAATATATTCAAGATCCCAACGTCTTTATAATGATGGGCAGAAAAACAGGAAAACATGCAAGGGAGGTTTGGCACGATGTGGATTTTTCCATTTAGTCTAATGTTTTAGCCATAAAATGTTTGGGTGATAATATTTCACTCTGGGTAAGCAGGCTGCAGCTTCAACGAGGCAGAGAAACAAGCAGATACTTAATATATGAATGTGTCTTACTGTGTGTAAATACCTGTAGGCTATGTAACTTAGAAACAAGATGGAGATTAAGCAAAACACTACTGACAAGGGATTTGATTAATCATTCACACAAAACACAAGACTTTCAGTTGCTTGTTAGATGTTCAAGGTGAAATCTGACAGCGAAGGAGGATGGGACCAAGATTAGGAGGGGACGATGAGTAGGTGTTTGTGTGTGTGTGTGTTTGAGGCTGCACATAATTTGAGTGCTATTTTTAATCAGCACACAGAGAAAGAAAAAAACAGGCTTGTGTTAACCTGTGAGCCCAGCAGAGAGCAAGAGGATTTACTGAGAGCATTTGAGCTCTTTTCTACACCTTCCTCAGGACTTTAAATCACTTTCTCGCCCTCAACAGCTTTCTGTTAATGACTTTCCCGCCAACTTTTTTCCCATCTCTCTACATGCTTCTGGTTGCTACATTGTAAGACTCTGAATATATTTCACCCTGATCCTTGTTGAAATTCCTCTAATGCAGCCATTATCCGCTCAACAGATTTTCACCTCACTTTTCAATATCTCCTTTAAGTCAGCCCATAATTCTTCCTTTGTTTTATGGTTGGAAATTCAAAGCCCAGTTTTTTTATTAAATAATATAACCGCAAATAGGAATGGGCCGTGACTAACCGAGTTGCTATCATTCCTGCCATAACTTACGGCAATAACAAGGTCTGAGTTTGGGAGCAAGGAGAAAAAGGAGAGAGGACGGGGGGTGACTGGGGGTTTGCTTATGAGGGGGGTGGATGTAGAGATAGTGCCCAAGGGCAGTGGGAGTAGAGAGAGAGAGAGATGAGGGAGTAAATCTGCTCCATGGCTTTCCCCAGCATCAGGTTTATATGTGTGCGAAGCGTGCAGTGTGTTTCCAGGGGTTTCCATGCTGTCACAAAGACCCCTGTGAGACCAGCTTATTTACCCTGCAGTAAAACCCGAGAGGGAGTATACCCTGCAGTAAAAGTGGAGAGGGGGCTCAGTGGAATTAGATTTAGTGCCGCCTCCGGCTCTCTGTTCTGTGTGTGCCGTCAGGGAAAGCTCACTCTTGTTCCGTTGTTCAACTTGAGTTATGTCGTGCTCAGAGTAAGACGTGTTGAATAACATGCAAACATGTTTCAGAATAGTTTTTAATTAAAGAGAGAGAGAGAGAGGTATTACATTGTTCTCAGTTATTGGTTACATAGTGGCTGGTACAGTGACAATATATTAATTTAGCATAAATAAGCAGTTGTGCAATTAAGGGTTATTATACATTTCACAATGCTATTGCATAAGCACTTGATTGACTGTACAAGATGCATTTTCACAGATGAATGCAAAATGTGCTTGTTTGTTTTTTTCAAGAATAATTACTTCCCAAGATCTGAAGGAGAAAACATATCCACAGGATCTCAAAGAGAACATGAACTTGCACATAACAGAGCGTTTCCTACCTATCGCTGGTAAACCAACCCACCAGCGCTGATGAAAGGATGCTGCATACACAGACAGAGGCTGATGGCTCTGCGTAGCCATCCTTATGGCAAAGGTACAGTACTGCATGTTTCTGACCAACATGCTCCAGTTTGGAAGATGTTTTCAGGTAAGAGGTCGACATTCAGAACTCTCCTCCTCGTGGAGAGTATTGCTTTGTTACATTCCACATTTTGATCATGTTCAAGTCATTCATCCAAACTCCAGGCTCAGACTTCTCTACTTTAAGAGTCTACATGCAATAAGAGAGCTGTGTGTGTGATAGCGGCTTAAGGAACAAAGCTTACAAGCAGTTACATCCAAAGGTTGAGGTTCAAACCAGCAGCTATAAATCAATTCGATCTGTGACTGGGAGATGCAGCTCTGTTGCTTTGTACACATATTCATCTGAAGTTGCTAAATGAAAAGTTTCTAAACCTTATCATATATTTTTTTGCATTTTCTTGGCTGGATTTGTATTAAAATAGCTATGGAATACAGATAGAGGATGTTGTCACATAACAAATTACACCTGAAAGCCCAGAAACTAACTATTTAAATCTGATTTGTACATTTTTAGAGTAAATTGAAAATTCATGAATTTATTCAAAGATTTGTTATGTTGAATAATTCTTTATCTGTATCAGGATGTGCAAGTTGTGATTATGTGTAGTAAGACTTTACTGTGATAGTGTTTTGTATAAAATGGGCCCACAAACAAAGACAGATTGAGAGGCGGTGTGCAAACTTCACATTGTTTCTAAATTACAATTAAACTAAAGGGTGAGATGTAATCCTCCTCTGGTTTGGATCAACCAAACATTCACCTCAGACCTCAAACAGACTGAAAGCTGCACATTCAATCTAACCACCCCCGGGTGCTCTCAAATCCGTTTCCTGCTCTCCATCCCCGACCGCTTGTGACAAGTGGCTCGAGGTCAATGTGGAGCAAGCGGTGTGAGTCATTCCAAGGCACTTGATTCTTTACATTTCCGTAGATGATGAACTGACAAATCAATAGTGTTCTTTTGCTAATGCCATTTTCTCCAGGGTACGAATGCACTTAATGAAATGATAACTCAATGCTTAATCAAATGCTACTCAAGGTTTCAAACAGATACTCCCTTTGGTATGATGATCTCATGTTCATTTGTGCACTTCGATGACATTACTGCCAGATACAAATTGTGAATATTCTAAGGTTTTAAATTCCATGCATTATAAGCGTTAAAAATAAATGCAATTTGCAAAAAAAAGGACATGGAGAAAAAGTAAATGAGATTCATTCACAAAGTGACGCAAAAAGATGCTAAAGACAGAAGGCAAATCACTAAGCCTGAAAAGGCAAAACAACCTCAGTGACTAAATTAAATGAATATAATCACAGCACCGAGAGAACAAAACACGTTAAAGTTGAAGTCATTGGAACTAAACATTCGGCCTCCTCAACACAAAGTATCAAAACAGGAGTACGCATTCTTATTATAACTAACCAAACTAACTTGATAGACTGCACGTGTTACTCATACGCAGTCTGTGCTTTACAGGTGTGTGAACCGGAGGTGGAAACATTCAAACTAATTTGTGGTCTCGGGGACTTTCCGGTTGCCATTGGTTGCTGTGAAGCTGTAAAATGCCCTGTAAAACCTCCAACCAGACTTTGTAGCAGAAGAAGTACTGGTCCTGAAATGAGAGACAAAGGGAAGGTCTCGCTTTAGAAACTGTCTTTTTTTAAAGCTTGATCTTTGAACTTTAACCTTTCTCTTGGTACTAACCTTGGTTTGAATCATCCCATGGCGCTGGAGTCTCATCTCTTTTACGACATCGCTCACGTTAATCTGAAGACAGAGACAGAGGGTTGTGAGGCATGTGTGTGTGAACTAGTCTATTGCTTTAGTTGATTTCTAATTTCTATAATAAGTTAAAACAACCAAGCTCTGTGAGGCTAAGGCTAAACGAAGTGTCATTATTAAGTAGGATGTTTGGTCATAACCAAAGGGTTTGACAAATGAAAAGATTTTTGTGACTAGACAAAAAAAGGAGGGATCAAAGTTAGTATAATTCAAGATGTGATCCAAAATTCATGACAATCCATACAATAGTAAAACAAATGACAGATTTAATGAGAAAACTCGAATGGGCACTTGGAAAAAGGTCAGAGGATACGCAAAGTTGGTAGGATCCATCCTCTTGGGACCTTGAAAGTCTGTACACAATGTTGTGGAAATCCATCTGATTGCTGCTAATATTTAATTTCATTATTTTAGTCTGGACCAAAGTCATGAACTGAGCCTACCATATTGCCACTAGCATGTGTACAAATAAACTGTAATTAGTTAACCTAACAAAAGGGCTTTCACTCACAGGCAGGTCGTTCTCAATGAGGCTGAGGATAACGTCAGTGCAGATCAGAACTCCTGTGCGTCCGATGCCGGCGCTGCAGTGCACAGTGACCGGTCCCTTCTGGTGCACCGCCCTCATGTAGCGGATGAAACGGACCAGCTGCTCAGAGCTTTTCGGCACTCCGTGGTCAGGCCAGTGTGTGAACTTCAGGTGACGAACAAAATGTGTCTCCCCGGTCTGGAAGAACAAAAATACTTACAAAATGGTTTCCCTTCAAGCTGAATTTTACATTTAAGTATAAACCATAATATTAGACAGGCATGCAGGTTTCCCTCACAAATCCTTTACCTCTGTCTCCACCATGCGGATGATCTTGATGTGGAAGTGCTCCAGGTACTGTTGGTTGTCCAGGTGAAGCTGGTACCTGCCTGTGTCCAGAGGCACGGAAAGCTTCTCTGGACAGTACTTGTGACATTTGATCCGTCCCCGTTCTACTTCCTGGGTCATCATGGCGATGACGTCAGACTTGTTTTCCCAGATCATCTGCCAGAAAGCTGGCACTGTGGTAGGCAGAGGGCCCTGGCAGGAGATGTAGAAGAGCTCTTCTTCGCCAACTTTCATGCGGATGTAGCTGGCGTTGATGTAGTCCTGCTTGTCTCCAATGGCAACACGAGTTTCGTCATCTATGCAGAGAAAGAGAAAGTCAAAAAAAAATCCTGAACTGTCTGTGTGCTGTTTGTGAGCATGAATCGCTATATCAATTCATAATTCAAATACACTAATTAGACCTTCAGCAGCATCTCCCCACAAACGTAACAACAACATTAGGAATGTTTTCTTGATCTTTAACAAATCCATCCATTTCTCGGTCGTAAACAACAAACACTGCTACCTTGTTGTTTAGCCAAAAGCACGCAATATAAGTCTACAGTAAATAAAGCCAAGTAAACAGCTCTGGGGTCTGGAGTTGAGTGCAACAAACCAGCACTGTGAAGACTTTTTTGATGATGAGAGGGGTGATAGAACGAAGGCAGTTAGGAATATTTTCTGCTTTGGTCCACCACCTCCTGCTTGTCAGATAAAAAAAAAAACACAGACTGGAGACCAAATCAGCTAGTTAAAGGTTACAAGTAAATGATTAGATTGGTAAATAGTTGGTATTTCTTTGGACAAACATCAGTTATAACAGGCTGCAAGCAACAAGGCTTTTTTTGTAAGCTATACTGTGGTATTCCTCTGGGTCTCTTTATCCTTTTCATCCCGCTCATTCATTTAAACTCTGAACCTTTCACCTTAAAACACTAAGGGATAGGGAAGTGAACACTTCTTTATGTGTTTGGTGCATTTGAGCATGTGTTGGTTTTGCAGCTTTTTCACAGACATGCACTTTTTCTTGTCTTTGGGGGATTTTTGCCTTTCATTCTGTCCCTCTGTATTTACACCCTGAAATTCATATTAATAAAACAGCTTGTAATTTTATGTTTCACGATGCAGCTTCATTTATTAAAAATATAAATCTCAGATAATTACAAGGTTGCCAAGGAATGGCATCATCTTCATCATCACATACTTGGCTGACTCCGAGGAGATTATAAGTGCGGCTCCAGTGAATTATTGATACTTACCAGGGAAATTATTTGTTGCACAGCCAAGTGTTGTAAACAAACATCTACCCTCCCTTCATTAAAGACTGTACAATCAGCTTAAACTGAGTAGTGAATAAAAGTGCTAACAAACAGGCTCTCCTATAAATGCAAAGCCTGCGAGTATCTAGCTTTTACAAGTTCAGCTCAACAATAAAAAAACTCCAACAGGGGGTCATAAAATGAAGCGCAGGGGATTGAACAAATGGAGAAAGGAAAAGTGTAGGTTCTACCAGCAGAAAGTAAAAGTTAACAGAAGCCGTTTTTCAAACTTACAGGGTAGGATGTCTCTGTAGCGGTTCTTATCTCTGTTCTCAGGAGCTTTTCCAACCAGACAGTTGTCCGAAGGCTTCAGATGCTCCAGAGTCTGAAATGAGCAAGGTTAATAAAGCGTTAAAACTCTGAATAGTGCTGCTGGATCATAGTATGGCTGGCAATACAAATAGCTTAAAACTGCAATGTTTTGATAATCAGTGTCTATGTGTGTCTGCACATTTAGATTCAGCTAATTTTCTCAAAGTGCAGTTCACATTTTAAAGTCCTGCTTGTATAGTTCTTATGGCAAAATCCATTAGGGAAAAGGTTAAATGACACATTAAATAGGCAGCGTGTTATTATACCCGTAACATTTTACAACTTTGAATTACACAGATTGGTAAATACATTGTACATTATATTGTCTATAACATCTTACACACCATGAACTCTTTGATCAGTTCCTGCTGGTCCAGTTGATGCTGCAGAATATGGATGAGGGATTTGACTCTGCAGCCTGAATACTGACTGGTCCTCGAGGGGCTAATGAGAGCCAAACTGGCTAGTTCGTCCTCTGAGACTATGGGTGGGCCTGAGGAAACAAAACAAGACAAAAAGAAGAAAATAGTTGCTGATAACACAGATACAAATTTTGACTGGGACCAACATCACAGGAGTAGAGGAATATACACCTGTTTGGGGTGTGGTTTCTCGACACGTTTCGTCAAACACATCATCATCTTCCTCTTCGCTGCTCCAGCCGTCTGACTGTTTTTTCCGGATGTCTTTGCAGGACCGGTCCAAAGGTTTGGTCACAATTTGTTTCCTGGGGGAGTCAGGGGGCAGGTGTGAGACCAGACCATTTTTACTCTTCGGTAGGAGGGGATGAAATCATGCAAGGCTGAGCTTCTTTTCCCTGCGTCTTTTCCACCTAAAATACAGTATAGACAAAAGGCTAAAATATCTTTATACTTCTGCTATACTTCTTGTGGTGAGGCTACAGGGAAAAGTACTATACACTTCCTAACTGTTACTCTATTTGTCTATTTCTTTTGGTATTCTTTGTTTGGGGTTCACTGCCCATAAGGAGCAGCATTTATCCCGGGGGCTGGTTTATTTATTGCTCTCTGTTGCCTCCCTGTGGTTAACACCGGAACTCTAGGAGAACAAAACAAAAGAAGCAGCAGGGGGAGGAGGACGAGGGTGAAGAAATAAGGAGACAAAAAAAGGAATGTACTACCTGTCAGAAGCTCCATGCAACATGTCAGTGACATTGAGGGGTGGGCAGCAGGCTTGATGAGAAGGGCTGTTGTTACAGCTCTCCTGCTCCACAGACAAGCAGCCAGAGGAGGGAACAGACAGGAGGAGCAAGATGTTATTAGTAGATGTTAGTAAAGAGGTAAGGAGGTGGCTTTTTTTAAAGGTTCAAATAACTTTACATCATTATAGCTGCACTATAGTTATTGTACTTATGCATGTTACCGGTATAATTGTAATGTCATCAGTTACGATGGTCATTCTGCGTGGTGGAGGAGGCGATGAGGCAACGAAAACACCAGCTTCATTGACCAAAGGGTCTGATGTGGCCTCTGGAACAACACAAATTACTTATGAATTGCAAGTCGAACGCCAATTATACAATTCAGTGAATGCATTTAAAAGACACAGCATTTGCATTAAGTCAGAAACTTGTTTTCATCCAATTTGATTAAACCAGATCAAAACATTACATTTCTATATTACATTACATGTCACTTGTTAGACGCTTTTATCCAAAGCGACTTACATACTTTTGGGCAATCCCCACAGGAGCGATTTAGGGTGAAGTGTCTTGCCGAGGGACACAACAACATGCTGACCGCAGTGAGGTTTGAACCTGTGACCCCCTGATCCAAACACCAACGCATTACATCACACGCCTCCCTATATGATTGAATCTTAGTGCAGTGAACTAAGATTAGTAGCACCCTCTGCTCTTTTTTCTAGTACTATTATCAATCTAAAAATCCACTATAAAGGGAAAAGTAGTTGTACCAGGCGGGCACTCCACTGGTTTTCTCAGCATGATGTCAGGAGAGGAACAGCTGCCATGGCTGGAGGCAGGAGCCGGCTGCTCGGCTAAAACAGCTTCCTTAGCAGACATGCTGGGCGGTGTCGGGGACTCGCAGTAGGTCAGAGGCCTGTCTCTGCAGATTGTGAGCTGTACAGAGCCTTCAGCTTTACGCAGAATATCCACCACCTTACTGTGGCTGAGCCCGGACACAATCACACCGTTCACCTAGAACACAAATTGTGAAGACATGTTTTTGTTTTTCTACTACAGGGGTAATAAAACAGTCAAGGTGTATGATAGGCTGTTACCTCTAAAAGGATATCTCCCACTCTCAGACGACCATCCTGCTCAGCGACTCCACCAGAGCAGTTTTCTCTCACTCTGAGCATGCTGCCATTGGTTCCCCCGATCAAAGCAAAGCCAAGGCCTCCTCCTTCTGGTTTTTTTAACTCCACCTGCATGATGCAACTCTAAAAGGAACCGGTGGAGTAAAGGAGGAGAAAGAATCAGTAACTTTCTTCCATCGTAATTTCAGAAGCATTTTCCGCAGAAAAATGCCATGCTTTTAGATGACTCAGGTGTAACACATGCCTCTCTCTCTCTCTCACACACACACACACACACACACACACACACACACACACACACACACACACACACACACACACACACACACACACACACACACACACACACACACACACACACACACACACACACACACACACACACACACACACACACACACACACACACACACACACACACACACACACACACACACACACACACACACACACACACACACACACACACACACACACACACACACACACACACACACACACACAGTGACCCCCCCAGCAGAGAATGCATTCACAGATTGACAGACAGTAGACTCATGTTACAGTGTGTGTTTCAACACACACTTCAAAAAGAGGAGTAAAAGAGTGGACAAAAGTGAAAAGTTTCCACATAAAGAACAAGCTTTTAGAAAAATAAAAAGAATATGTTAACAAACTTACATCATGTTCCTGTGCAATAGATTGACATCTGTAATTTCCAGAAGATCTAGACACAGGTTCGGCTGAAAAAATAAAACAAATGTAATCAATGAATCAGCCAACAAACAACCCTATATATTATCTTAACAATAATGGATACAGGTAATACCGATCAACAATTAAAAGCTATGTAAATTATAAATATTGTAACAAAGTATTTTGGGCCCTGAGCCAACACTGGAACTTCCCCTCTGTACCAATTTCCATTCATGCGACCGTTTTCCGCCAATGAAATATCTGTCACAGACACACAGAAAAAAGCAACACACACCAACCTCCCACCTCTTCGGCCATTTTGGAAGAGAGGTGTTGATGGGCACGTCTCCTCTATGACAGGTGAACAAGGCTGCTCTTTTCAGACTGACCCTCTGCACTGTCCCTTACCACTGCATGCACCGTCACCAGGCAACTGAGCTACCTGCCCTGTAGACCACTGTCTGTATGGCACTCTGTGTGTGTGTGTGTGTGTGTGTGTGTGTGTGTGTGTGTGTGTGTGTGTGTGTGTGTGTGTGTGTGTGTGTGTGTGATGGTGATGGCTGCAGTCCTGCTGTCCAATACCCCAGTGGAGGGCCTGAGGCTTGCTAATTATTAATCCTGCTGTGAGAGCCAGGATATGTCTGTCAGCGTTCGGATCAGACTCACACACACACACAGCTGCAAAGTGAACTATCTTTCAGCACCGAGCGCCAGCTTCACACAGACAAAGGAGCAACAAGCAACCAATTATTGAGATGATAGAATATGCGAGATATCGGAGGAGAAAAAAACTCACCATCTTCGGAAGGAGACTCCTTCTCTGGAGAGACGGGCTCCTCGAAACGAGCTAAGAACTTCTTGTCCTTTTTCCAGTCAAACAGACCTACAGAAGAAAACCCCATATATGAACATATAGAAAGCCATCAGCACATATTATACAAGGAAACCGCTAATTATAAAGTCTAGTAACTAACATTTCCTGAACTCACAACACTGTCTGGTAATGATTGAACCTAAATTATCATTGTTCAGTTGAGCACAAACATATCTGGTTTCTAGGCAATCCATCAGAGCATATAACAACCAAAATATCTTGTTTATGTGTTCCTGGGTTAACTCAAGCAGGTGTCCCCTTCCCATAAATCCTTCAGAAGCCCTTACCGTTCCACTTAGCCTTGGGGTTCAAGGGCTGGTCTTCTCTGTAAAACACACAAACAGTAGAGTCATTCAAGGAAGTAAAAACAAACCCACTTCAGGGTCTCTCTAGCCTGTTAAGGGTGCATACCTGATTATTTTAAGCTTGACTTTACGAGGGGCGATCTCACAGGCTTTGACTGCGTCCTCCAGGGTCATTCCCAGGGTGCACCTGCCACAGATATAGAGGATCTTGTCATTGGGTTGGACGCTGCCCTCCTCGCTGGCTGGAGAGCCTGGCACCAGCTGTAGACAGTAGATGCCCTGCCATTTGCTGCCGATGCCTCCTGTCAGCTTTATACCTGGAGAAGGCACACACACATTCAGTGCATACAATCAATTAATACTGTGTCTTTAAGATGTGTCAAATGACATACCCAGCTGTCCTGAGGGGGTCTTGTAGATAACTACATCAGGCAGGCTGTCGCAGGACGGCGGGGCCACCAGGTTGGTCACAGCTCTCCCCACAGTCATGCTCAGTCTTCTCGGAGTTGACCTGAGAATTGTCATGGCAACATCATCTGCCACACTGGTTACATCGTGTCTGTTTACCTGGAAAACATATGAAAAGTTGTCATCTGTACAGCACAAATTCTGCTTTTTTGTTTTACTTGCAGAAATGTACGGATGTGTGTGTGTGTTTGCGCGTACTGTGATGAGCCTGTCTCCCGCCCGGAGTCGTCCATCTGACTTTGCTGGGTTGTCCAGTATTTCCTGGATGTAGTAGCAGTTGTCCAGCTTGCTTCGAGTGATGGTGAACCCAAAGCTTCCATTCCTCGACTTGGTCAGATCCACTGACAGCTCAAACTCTTTAACAAAGCACTGACAGGCAAAACTAAAATCAATATATCTGTTTAATAGCTATACATTTTCTCCAAGACATAATATTTAACACTTGTTGTTTAAGCTTTAACTTTAACTCAACCACATATTTCTCACCATAACATGAGCTGTACAATTATTATGCAGAGAAGAGAGTGCAAGATGAATAACTATGATACAAACAAGGTGAAACATATTTGATATGGTCTTTTCTTACAGTTAATCATATTGCAACATATAGCTATTTGTCTAGCATTGATTAAGCAGACAAGTGACTGTAAGTATGATTAACATTGACTTTTTCCATACATGTGGACATATAAATAGCTTAAAATCCTGTATTAATATTAACAGTAGATGTCTTGTTTATCATGGTTATATAGTTACTTAACAATTCAAATGTTGTATGTAGAACACATTGAGAATGTTCTGGTTGATATTAGAAATATTTTATCCTAAATTAACACTGAGGATCTTTGTTTATTATTAGTTTGAAGCCAAATAACAAGCACATATTAATTACTGGTTCATTACGCCATGCCTAAACCTATCATCCACCAAACGTTTTGGAATCCTTTTTAAATGGTTGTCATTTAGGAAAAGTAAGCCAAGAAAACAAAACCTCCCAAACGTACCTTTCTCCGACTCTCTGCCTCCTCTTCCTCACTCTCCTCGTAATCGTAATCCTTGTATTCCCTCTCTCTCTTCTCGGGCTCTTCTCTATGCTGTGTGTGGCTCTGGGCGGGCAGCGGTGTTGGGGCAGGTGGGCTGGCACAGGGAGGCACAGAGGGGCCGACCTGCGCTGTGATGGGGGTCGAGGTTGCAGGCGGAGGCTGGGGTGGGGACACCAGAGGCCGACTGTTCTTGCCGACGGCTTTGTAGTGACTTGAAAGCAGACCCTGCTGGATCGGGTGGTTCTTGGCTTTCGGTGGCTGTGTGGTGAGAGGTGGGGATGGGTGGGCCAGGGAGAGAGTGGTCGGGGTGTCAGACGAGAGGCTGAGGGGCGAGACGGTGGTCGTGGGCAGGTTAGGAGCGAGGGTGGGATTGTGAGAGCTGAAACTAGAAGTCCTGTCGGAGGTTCGAGGGTGGAGGACTTTGACGTTGGATGATGGAGTCTGAGTGGACACATTGGAAGGGGGGCTGCGAGGGTTCTCCATTGTGGAGCTGATGGTCAGGTACTCTTCATCTGCCATGATAGTCAGTCCATTTCCCATCAGGCAGTAGGTCACACTGCCATCAGCATCCTCTCTGACTCCACTGCAGATAAACAGACAGTAGATAGAATAACTTTAAAACAAAGTTTCTTCTCTAAAGCTGTATAAAACGTTAATCTTCTAAAATGTATCATTTGATTGTTATTATAATGACATACAGTATTTCTTGTTAGCTTTTGAAGTTGATTGCTGTTGATGGCTGTTCATTCACGTATTTCAGGCTTCACTGTGTAAAAACTGTGTTTTTTTGCTGTTGTACCCTGCTTTTTCAAATTCTAACAAAAGAAGCTGAACCTAATCAAATGTCGAAAATGTATCAGGACTTACGTTCAAGAAGTTTGTCCAAAATGATTCAAATATTCTGGTAAATTGGATTATTTAGATCATCCTTCTAAGGAGTTTGATACGTTTACATACACATTTAGATTTTGCTGATGTAAAAGCAGTTCCCATATCAAATCCTGTTTCAGAAATGGCTAGATGTGGCTACATCTGATACATTACCTTGCATATACATATTTCGATCCAGACTTAGGGCAGACATCCATAAGCATCACAGTTGAGCCTTTTGTTGTTGCAATCTCCACTTCTTCTTTCTCATCTCTGTCCTTGTTCTGCTTCCTTGCTTCTACTTCCTGTTGTGCCTCTGGTTTCCCAGTGGCTGGTTGCACCTCTGGTTGAGCTGGAGGAGAGCCACAGACGGGTGAGGCGGGTGGGTGAGGCGATACTGGGGAGGCAGGTGAGGCAGGTGAGGCAGGTGAGACTGGTGACGGAGGTGATATAGGGGAGGTGGGTGACGGGGGTGAGCGAGGACGAGACGGAGGAGTCTGGTGTGCCTGCACTTTACCATCCAGACTCTCCTGGGTCTTTGGGAGTGCTGGAGCTGCAGGAGGATCTGGGGTTTCCTCTGCTGTGTCTGTCAGATCCTCCTCAGGGGTGGGGGCCTGCTTCTGGGCAGATATTATAGAATCATATTGAAATCTGAGGAGCTGGCTGTAGTCGTCTCCTAGTCGGATGTCCAGAGACTGAGATCGAACCTCACGGAAGTAAGCAGGACTCTACAGAGACAGGTAAGACAGTTTATCAGTATACCGGGTCTAAATTGGGAGTTTTTTTTCTTGTATATGTGTATATGTGGTGAGCTCACCAGTGTGTTGTCATCCAAATCGAACAATACTCCAGGACCTGGTCGGCAGATTAGTAGATGAACTTCAGATGGAGCTCCACGTAGCAGGAACAAAACCCTCTGAAAATTAAAAAAGAAGTGTGTAGGAAGTTAAGATACATCTTTTGAGTGACTCAAAGTGTGCAATTTTTAAGGTAACATGGCAAAATGCACCAGTATTATTTCCATTATAACTCATTGGCAGTACACAAAATACTAAGACACAACCAGCTTGCTATTTTGGTTGGTATCAGATTAAAGGATTAGTGGACCAATGACGTGTCTGAGATCTTAAAGAGCAGGGTCAATGGTGCTGTTCTTACGCTCATTAGTGTCGGTAGTCAGCACGTTATAAACCAGTCTATTCTAAAAAATGTACATCCCAAAAAACTATAACACAATAAAACAACTTGCAACAAACAATCTCTATTTATGAATATGGGTATAGATTTTTAATTCAATGGTATGAATATCTAAGGATTACAAATAATGTTAAATACCGCAAACCCTTTATCTTATTATTTTATTTTATCTTGTTCATTTACTGTATTGATTTGGCTCTATCTGTCATTTTTGTCCTCTTATATCTCTATCCTTAGACCCTGATCTGATTCAATCCTCATACTCTTATTTATGAAGAATAATGAAGGACATTATAACCTGAAGAAATCTCTGTGCCTTATGCATGGACACATTTTTCAAATATATATATATATATTTATATATATGTATATGTATATATTACAGCTGTTACTGATGTTATTACCATGCACTAGTGACCATTCATTTATTTTATTGTATTTATTTACTCTCCTTTTCTTTTTTTTGGCTATTGTTTGCATCACTCTTGCTATTGTCACCCATCCATTGTTTGTACTGTTATGTAATACAATGCTAAATCTGAATACAAGTATATATTCAAAAAAATAAAATAAATAAAAATACCCCAAACCCTACCTGGTAAGAGAGGTCTTTCACAGGCTCTTTGTTGACGGACAGAATAACGTCTCCAGCTTGCAGCAGGCCGCTCTCTAGCGCTGGTTGACCCGGGAACAGACGTTTGATGCGGACCACGCTGCCCCGGTCTGGCCCCGAGTGCATATGTGAGATGTTAAAGCTAAAGCCGAGGCCAGACAAACTCTTCTTCAGCACCAGTTCATGCATATTTTCTAGGAAAAAGAGGAGACAGAGGGGAATCTTGGAGCATTAACGTGTGTTGTGTAACCTTTAATCTGTGTTGTGGTCTGCAATTTGGTAGATTGTCTAAAAAAAACAATGTTGATTAATCCCCCCTGACACGCATATGTCCCTATGAGAATTATTTATTTTTCTCCACTGCCAAATCTGAACAAGCAAGAATCCTTTTTTTTTTAAACAAATGTTGCCTCACAAGGAAGGTTTTGTTGGGGTTGAGAACTGTCCCTTTAACTGATCTCAGGCAGGGAACAGGCAGCTTCAAGGTTTCAGTGCAGGCTGTCTTGAGGGACTGAGGGAGCATCAGCCCTGGATGACTCTGACAGCAACCACAATGTAGCTGTCAGATGACTCACAGTCACCTCTGGGCCATGTGTGCAACGTGTGTGTGTGTGTGTGTGTGTGTGTGTGTGTGTGTGTGTGTGTGTGTGTGTGGTGCCTGACACTGTCTATCTTTTCTTATTTCCCCTCCTATGTGAGCGTATGTGCCCCTTCCTCTCGCCTCACCATCAGTCACAAAGCTGTAGTCCTTGGCTCGACCACTCAAGGTCATTTCCATGGAGACATCCGTCCTGGAGGGCTGTGTATGTGATGAACTTTGGGCCAAAGGGCGGCAGGGTGAGTCAGATCTGGGCTCCAAGACTATTGTGGGCTCCCTTTCCAAAAGCAGGCTCACCACCTAGAAGGAAAAGATGCACATACAAACCCTTGATATGTTCAGGAGTTACAAGTAAAGACAACAATGTACACTAGCTAATGCAAGTTTATATTCAGGTTTGAATGGAGTCAATTTAAAACGCTTCTCTACAGTATTGTAGATAAGGTATAAAGGGTCCAACAAGTGCAACTAAATGATACACTGGTCTATTTCAAAACAACTCTTATAAGCGTTATCTCACTCCTCTATGGTACAGTTATTTGTTATGAATAGCTCAGAGAAGGTAACTTAAACTACTTAGTTAAGGTGAGGGAATTAATGTGTTCATATATGAAGTAAAACAACGTTTACTAAAGTTGAAAAATAGGAGCTGAAACATAGACTGGTACTGATACAACTGATTTTTCTACTGTAATTATCTAAATATATTTATCCAATCATATTATCAAAAGAGTTTCACATGTGTATTTGTCTATATACATATATATATGTGTGTGTGTGTGTGTGTGTGTGTGTGTGTGTGTGTGTATATATACCTCCCCAGTCCTCTTCAGGCACTCGACAGCTTGGGGGTGAGTCACGCCCCTCAGGTTGGACCCATCAACCTCCAGCAGTCTGTCACCTGTCATATGCACAAACACAAATCTCATCATCATTAGCAACATCAAAACATAAACGGTCTGTGTGTGCGTGTGGTTTTTGGGCATGTCGACAAATCTTAAAATCATTCCTGCTCACTGAAGCATGAAGCAAGCAGACACAGCACAGTGGCCTCAGCGGCACACTCATGTCCATACAGGTTTTATAGCTTTCATCTTATAGGGCCCCAGTTCAATCCACTATCAGTATTAGTATTATAAATATTGGAGATGACGATCTCCCCCAAGTTAAAGGGTGCCATTTGGACTAAACGTAGCATATATTTCACTATGTTTACATCATTTCCTTTGATGATGAAAATGGATGGGAAAACATTGTGAAATAATACATTCAAAGATGACATATTGCAAATTAATGACAATTATTTTCACCACTACATCCCCCACTTAATCATAAGTTGAGTGAACATCCGGCACAAAATCAAACTGGAAGCGTACTGATCACATATCGAAATGACATTTTTTAAGATTACCAATCTGAATGCGCCCGTCCTGCTCTGCAGCACTTCCAGACACCAGAGTCTTGATGTAGATGCCTCCATATCGCACATTGGTGTTTATTCCTCCCTTTTGGCAAAAGATAGATGTAATTAGTCAATGACTCAGGCCTCAAATAACCCGAGAAACATACACTGACTCAGCGTAAAGGGCTCACAGTTACTGTGCATTGCAGCTTGTTGCCTATACATATTTTTAAAGCAGGACTATTGTATTGGACTGCATTAGTTTTAGCTGGATGAACCTAGGTATAAAACAAATGCTGTACAATTAAAGAAAAAAACATTGACTCACAGCAACACTGATGCCAAGACTACCGTTGCTTTTCTTCAGCTCCACTACAAAGCGCTCGCCATTTCTTAAACTTATGATAGAGGGAGACCTAGAACACACATCCTGAAGAAAAAAAACGTTTGATTGAGAAATGGATACATTAGGAAATGATAAAGGTGGGTTTTCAGGAAACTTAACAAAGCAATTAATCAGTTTAACAATTAGCTCTGGTTGAACTATTTTATCAGCTTTGACTTCATGTTGAGATCTTAGCTTCCATGGAAACAGAGTCATTCATGTCTAACCTTGGCGTCATGTATTCGCACCACAGGAATGTGAAGCCTCCTGCTCTGTCTGGGGGTTGCCGTGTTGGACAGAGTGATGGCTTCCTCCAGTTCCTCCACAACGGGACGGAAATCTGCGCTGCACAGTGTGGTCTGTGACCCAAAGCCCCTCTCCAGCGCCAAACCCAGGGTACTGTGACTAAATGAACCCCTTCTGTCCTTTAGAGAGTCTGACAACAAGCAGGTGGGGTAAAATACCTTAGTACACTGAATAAAGTGTCACTACTTTACTATACAAATGTTGGATAGCATGCAGTATGATGTCCTTTTTGTTTTTCTGTTGTTCTCAGTTTTTATGTCTTGCAGCAGGTCTCCCTTGAAAAAGAGATCGATGATCTCAATGGGATTCACCTGCTTAAATAAAGGTTTGAAATGAAATGAAATGAAAGAAGAGAAATCAGAGATAGAGACGATCTTACATTTAGGCTGGGACACAATGAGCTCCACCTCGTCTGGGCAGTTTTGTAGGATGGCAGCAGCGTCAGTGAATGTCACTCCTTCCAAACTTGTCTTGTTGAGGGAGATGAGACGTCCACCTGGAAAAAATATATATCAAAATCTTTGTTATAGGTTGTTACCTGCAGCCCATTTGTCTCTTAATAACGTTTTGTTGTACTGTATGTTGTCGTACCAGGTTTTATTCGTCCATCTTTGTCCGCAGGCCCATCAGACACAACGGAAGCAATGAAGATCCCGAGGTCCAGTTTGCCTGTATTGTCCTCGCCCACTATCACAAAGCCTGAAACAGGACGAGAGATAAAGTGAAGACAAAAGTCTTGTAGTATTTGTTTATTTTAGATGAAGTTCACAGCTTAGTCCACCTTAATAAACTCACCAAAGCCCAGTTTGGGATCTTTCTTCAGGGTCACACAGACTATCTCTCTCTCTGGTGGAGTCCTCGTTGGTGTATCAACTGCAAATCACATGTGATTATTATATTTAGGGTCAGGACACAAGTCTAGTAAAGAGTAGGGTTGTGTACTGTAAACCGGTTCCGAATCAGAATTATACAAATGTCTCTATGCACCAGAACATACACCTTACAAAACATGATTGATTTGTAATTTTTTAAGTTCTTTTACGTTTCCCCCCTCTGTATGTGTTCACAAAAGTACATATTTACCACGTATGGAGAACGAGGCTTCAGAGTCCTGCTTCTGTAGTGACACACTGGACATCATTCTGGGAATCGGCTCTGGAGTGCTGCAACACATGTGCACGTTTGCATTTATACATTTGTTTTCTTACTGTTTACTGTATGTTGTAATGTTCTTATAATGGAGAGCTACCTCCAACATTGTTGCTCCTTCATGTCCCCCAGGTCTTCAGCTTCAGTGAGCTCCTTGTTCAGCTCTCTGCTCATCTCCCTCCTCATCTCCCTCTGCTGGCGCAGCCTCGCCTCCAGTTTGGCAGTCAGGTTCTCACAGGACTTGGAGAGGGAGTCTGGTTGACCAGGTGTCAAACCCACATGGTTCAACATGCCCTCTGAGCAGGAGAACTGCTTCAGGTTCAGGTTACGGTCTCTGTATACGGTCATGTACTTCATGTTTTCATCTGGAGAAACAGAGGTGTTAATTATTAGTTGTCATTGTGGCTAAAACTTTCTGACATGTAAATAAATAAATCAAATATATCCACCTGGTATGATGGTGTGGTTAAGTTGTCTTGACGTCATCTCACTATGAAACTTGTGCTGTGCTGAGCAGAGGTTCAGGAAGTACTGTGCTATTTTTGAGCTTTCTGTTATAAAACTGTGCTTTTTTCCACTGGGCCCACCACACTCTATAATCAATTTACGCCGCTGGAAGATATAGAAAACACAAGTTACCATACATTTACAAACAAACAAAAAAGAGCCACACAAAGTAATATGTTATACAACAAAAATATGACTGAAATAGCACTTACCCCAGTTGATATGGTGTCGGTTTCCCTCCAGAGGAAGCGTCTGGTGACGGTTCGGAGGTGGTTCTTCATCTCGTACACAATTATTCCTTTGGCACAGACTCCCAAAACCAACTCTCCCACCACTGTCCTTTTCTCTCTCCCCACACGGTGGAACATAACCCCATACTCTGGTAACTGCTGGACAATCTGAGGTGCACATATTTATTTAAATGCATTAGATTTGAACTTGTAGCCAATCATTTTAGCAATAATTTAGAATTAGAGAAGTTAAACGGTGTGATCAACGGACATTTTTTTAGTGGTAAGCAACTTGTGAAACATGTATGTGAGTGGATGCATTTGTTACCTTTAAGTACTCTGTTTCTGCCTCTTCAGGAAGCATCTGGGAATGACTTGCATGTAGTCTTGGCAACTCTTCCTTGACATTGGGCAGGGCCAGCTTCTCTAGCATTCTCTTGGACACATAATGCTCTGGCTGGTAGTAATTCTTACCATAAAGCTAGAAAGACACACAAAAGAAACAGATATAACACAAACCCAAAGATGGTGCTGGTATTTAAAGCATCTTTGTGTCGTTGGTACCTCTGGCATGTAATCCCCAAACTCAGCCTGCAGAGCGAGAGCAGCCAGAAACAAGCCAGTGTCCTCGTTACAGTAAAGCCTGTCCTCCAGGATATCCTTACGCACTTGTAAGTAGTACTGGTGTCGAGTCAGTTTGTGCCTATAGGAAACAGGACAAAGGGTTAATTGAATATCTTAAACTATTCAATTCTATTTATATATTGTATACATTTCAACAGAACTGTACTTACAAAACAAAGGACATATCATCAACAAAAAATTTGACTCGCAGAAACACCAAAAAGGACAAAATCTGCCCTTTTTTCCAACTGTCAGGTGCAATTTTGGAGATTTTTGTTTCATTATCCAAGAAAAAATATTCATCATCTGCAGAATGAAAAAGAAAAGCCTTTTTAACTTCAGTGAAACAACACATCAGGCATAAGAAATTCAAATTATATTTTATTTTAAATAAAATCTGTTGTCAATAATTGATATGGTATCCATAACAGCCAATTGTGAGGGCACAATATCACAAGTTGGACTATGGATATTTTGAAATGAATTTCTGTATTGAATGTTGTTATGTACAATCAATACAGACCCACATACTACGCCATGCTTACCATCTATAAAGGCAAGACCAAAGTAGAAGTGTTCCACCAAGTTTGCATGAGCCACCACCATGTCAAACACATCTCTTCCTCTGGACTTAATGTCACAGCGCACCACCACATACTGCCCGTTAAGCAGAACTACAGTCACTTCTCTCTGAGACGAACACGAACGGCCCTTTCTGGACTGTAGTGGACACGCACAAACACACAGACCCACACAGGAAATAAAAAAAAAAACATTCTCACATGCATGCACATAAATGTACAACAATATCATGCAGCTATGCCAACAGCAGTTTACATAGATATTGATCAAAAGCAGAGTAAAGAGAAGCAGTCATTTACCACAATAGATCCTGGGAGATCGAGAACAATGTGTTGTTCATCTGGCATTCTGACGAACTCAGGACCCAAAGCCTGATAAAACAAATATTTTTGATATGAAGTCTTCAAGCAGAAACACATCCAAGGGAGAACTTCTGTGCATCTTTAATGATCTGCTGCTGTTCAAATGTACTTTTTACCTCACTCGCACTTTTTTCGACTAAATATTGTATATGCTATGACACTACAAAAAGCAGCTTGTTGTAAAGATCCACAACAAATGTATGTTCTACAAAAAAACCTGGCTTAAAAAAATATTCCGGACTTACCTTCGATGTCCTCTGGCTCAGGCTGATGGAGGACTCGCTGAAGGTGATGGAAGGACTGTGCGATCTGCCTGATGTTTTGGGAGAGGAGTCGTGTTGGGGGCTCCTACCAAGCCAACTGCAGTTGCTGTCCCTGTGACGGACCCCACGAGGGAGTCTGAGGGGAGAGAGAGGGGGAGAGGAAGGACAGATTGTGTAATAGATGTGCAGGCGAGTTGTAAAAGTCAAACTCAACAATGTCATGTCCCCTTGATGGCACTACAGACAATACAAAGGAGCACGGAAGGAGAAGCGGATGGATTTATTTGTGTTGACGTGCACACAGAGATAGTTTTAATAGTTGAAGAATTGTTTACTAAGTAATTACAGTATTAATGATGTGAATGTAAGAACGCATAGATTACATACCTTTCTAAAGAAGACTGGTACAGCGGTGTGGGAGAGCTCCTTGGTCTTTGTCTCCAAGGTCTCTGAGGTAAATTAACTGGAAAAGAGCATTTGCATTGTCAAAACAAGCAATTACGGCTGGAACACACATTCAAGTAGAATAACAAATGGTCTGTTAATCGAGGATTACATCCACAACTAGAATTAGGGGTTTTGTTAAGTGGGCAAAAGACAAATTATTTAGAATGATTTTCCTTACCTGACTTTGAGTCCGAGTCTGTTGAGTATCTTCTCCCTTCAGCACTCCCTTCGCTGAAGTCTGAAAGTGGCCCTTTCTTTCCTGTCAGCACGGTAAAAGATGACAGCAATGTTTAATTAATGTCCGACTCTGTGCTCCCAGGAGACAATAGGATTTTGGGACAGAAGTGAGGCTTGCACAGGGTTATACCAGCAAGCATCCACACTCTCTCTCTGATTATTGGCTCTCGCAGGAGACTAATCCTGGCCTTGCTTTAGATTAAGATTTTAATCCTGTTGACCTGTACGTTGCCTTGGGTCAAAAGAGCAGTGACCCGAAACTACTTTGCGTAAAATATTTAAAAGGTACAATTTATTCATAATTTCAAAATAAATCAAGGAAATAGATCAGAATAGAGTTTTCCTGTACCATACCACACAATTGAATTATCATGTTCCGAGATACATTTTAAATCGGAAGGATTTTCCAACTCACTTATGTACAGATAGGTAAAGAAGGTATGCCTGTTTGTCAAAAGCCCTTATTCAAAAATAATGTAGAGTGTCATGCCTATGCTCAGCAAGTTTTATCCTCTTGTATGATGATATGATGCTTGTGTGCATTTACAGGACTTAAACATGCATGCTCACCATGAAGTCTCTCTCTGATCATCTGGCTCCTGCCACTCAAAGGGACCTGACTGTCTGGCAGAGAGCCATGGTCCATCTGGAGGAAAAGACAACACATTTACATTTTTCTGTCATTATACACATTAGCCATTCAAATGATGCTGAAATCTTAGATAGGAACATGTAATAAAGGTATCTAGACTCACTGATTCGTGAAAAACTTCCTCCACCAGCTGTCGGATGACTGTGGGGGGTGGCGGCAGGATGTTGGTTTTGTGCTGAGACTCGCAGGCTTCCAGGATGGAGATGAGGTTCACCCTGCGGTGGGCCAGGTCCTCACACATGCTGAGCAGGAGGCTGTTCAGGTGGTCACTCAACTGGACCGGCTGAGACTCATGAGAGGAGAGAGTGATTAGAATATATGGCTGAGGAGTAGTGGTGTGGAATAAAGATGACAGCTGTGAATTACCCACCTGATTTTGAGGTAGGTGAAAATCAACCGACCAGTAGAGAGTCATACCCAGTGAATACACCAGCATCTGCACGACAAAAGTAATTGGTTAATGACAACACCAGTTGAACATGTTAAAATAGTTTAAATGGGATGTCTGAAAGATCTAATTATTCAAATGTGATTGAAAAAATGATAATAAACCACTGTTTGAAGATTCTAGAAATGGCTCAGTAAAGTGAAAGGCAACAATGATAGTGATGGCACAGTACGTGTTTTTAAATTATGCAGTGGGAGACATGTCCTGCTGCTTTCAAACATAAGTGCTTCACTATTGAAGGCTTTTATAAATGTAACATAGGCAGACTACCTGAAGATGTGTGTGAGATATATTTGAAATCCTTCCTTAATGTTAAAACATTGTCAAATATGATTATTAAGTGTTACTTTAGGGTTTTTCTATCCAATGTCAATAAATGAAGGTTTAAATTCAGAGCTGCAGTTTCTTTGCTCAGCCACTAGATGGCGGGCTCACATCTCAGCTGTCCTTCAAATCCTGACATCCTGATATTTTACCCTCACAGGAAACCCACATAAGTATATGACAGTAGTAGTATATGATTGAAACAAACCCCGATATGAACTTATACTATTGTGTGTTTACCAAGTCTGCCATCAACTTCCATGTGAGCTATTAGGACAGGTATGAGGATGTAAGCACTGACCCTCTCTACAGCAGGTTTGGTTGAGCTGGCACGGCCCTGCAGCATCTCTGGAGCGGTGAAGGTGGAAACATCCTCTGATAGGCCACAATTCTTAAATGCTAAGGTACCAGTGGCTGACAGCAGCAAAGAGGTGGGGCTTATGATACTACACATGTTGTTCTGACCTGCAAAAAGAGTAGGAAGTCCATAATAATGCTGCTGATACACAGTAAATTCAGTTTTAAACAAGATATATTTAAATGTTAATGTCTTTTTACATTGCCATAACATTATGGTATGGACATAGCATTAAAGCATTGTGTAATGAATGTGTGCACTGCGTACAATAAGAGGAGGATATCTGAAATGATTTACCCTTATAAGAGGCATCCACTAAAGACTCTGCAGTGGCCAGCAGCAGGGACCAGACCTCCTCCTCCAGCAGAGGTCCCCCTCGAGCCTCCAGTACTTCAGCTAATGTCACAAATGTGCTGCTCATCCTGCACACATTCCAATCACGAACCTGAAGATGTACCACATACATGCACACATGAAAAACACACATGTACAAAATCAATTTCTATATTGAAATATCTACAGCTGATTGTCTTATATGTCTTGTATATTTTGTAAAAGCACGATATACTTTGTTGGGTGTCCTCATTAGACATTTCTACTTTATCTTATCTTATCTTCATGATAGTGTTACTGTTGCTGTCAAAAGCAATTGCCTACAGGGACGGTTATGAGAGACAGTTCTGAGAAAAAGGCCGTTCTTTGCGCTGGACTCTGATTAGATTATCTAACTCCATTAGTCTCACTGCCTCTTGCTCTCTCTTGCCCCTCCCATTTCCTAATAGGCTTTCCTCCTGACAAGAGGGCACTTCTGAAGGGAGCTTTTCTTCTGGCACCAAGGCAACTGTGTCACGGTGGCATGTTAGTTTGTTGTCACATACTGTGCGAATATGATGACATCTGTACATTCAAGAATGGGAAGGAACAAAAAACACCTGACCTGACAGAGAAGAGACCGTGAAAGAAATGCATAAAAGCTTTCTTATAGTATTATTCATATTTTGGTAAAGCATCTATTAAGAAACATGGAAAATACATATTATTTTGACTACATTATATAAATGTAGGTATTTTCTTGTATTATTAGTCAGATTTAATTTAGTAAATTCAATTAATATCCAATCACATTAGATGATGAACCAATGAAATATTTAAAGTTCAAAGCATTCTACTATTTTCTAAAAGATAGCATGTTGTAGGATATCTGTGCGGATCAAAACAACAAACCACACTTGACATGATTATGTGATAACAGCAAAGCTATGGATATTTCCATAAGTATCTGTCTCAAATACAAGAGACATATGAACGTTTCAAAAGTCTTATATTTGTGTTGGTGTTGGTGTGAGAGTATAAAATGAGTAAAAACTGACATGCTGTTTTCTTCCTGGTTTTTCTCAAACAACTAAGAGAACAGATTCAGATTGTTCCCAATGCATGGCAAAGGCTGTTAAACCAAATCATCATGGTTTTTATTGGACTTTTTATATACATGTAGTTCATGTTCCTTAAATGTTACAGACCAGTAATTTCATAGGACAACCAACCACAGTGTGTTGAAGGAAGCAACATGCTTTCAATGACACCGACCAACCCAATTACTTTAGGCCTGATTATCCTGCACTTAAACTGAATTTACCCTCGGCTTGTGACACCCAGTGTGTCAATTAAATACAAGGATTCAAGATTACATGTGTTGCTAAACACAAAATCCACAATGCAATTAGGAGGTAATAAGGTTTCCTAGAAGTGCAGAAGGCCATTCAAATCAGTGAAATACAAAATGATGTAACTGTATACCTGTATTCTGGTTTATCGTTATGATGTAGAAAGGAATTGAAGAAAAAAGTAGGAAGCGTGCCAGGTGCCTCTCCACTGTGGAGCAAAAACTTTAGCAGCTGTGCTCCCTCAAAGTGGTCTGTCTACAGGTGTAAAGCTACTGTTGTGAAGCCATGCAGTGCTGCAGGGACCATCACAGAAACCTGGCAATTATCGACACAACTCTCATGTGTTGCTGGAATCTTTTTGGACATAAAGAAACTGTGCTGTACTGTGCATATCACATCATGGCATTTACCTAAACATGTGGCTGATGGGTTCAAGTTGGACCTCTTTAAACTTTCACATCCTCTGCATTCCCTAAATCACAACCTTTAAAACGTGATGTTATTATAGAGCATATTATAGAGCATAAAGACGATCTCTCATGCAATTGAATAATGTTTACTGCTGTCTAGAACAAACTACTTTAACATCTAATAATCCAATACCATGTCCAGATTATTAACCAGTTGTCACACTTTTTTCTATTTGGTGTACATGCAGATTTATTATTCAATTTGGACTAAAATGCATCACATACCATGGTTTTAATGGAGCAGTCAACAGCTAGTTCCTGCTCATTTAGCTAGCTAGCCTGTCACATGGAATCTACTTTAGTGATCCATTAAGCAGACAATCAGATGACAGACACAGACAGTGAAGCTGTACAGTATCCTTGAGAATTTGGGACAAGATGCTTCATCAGGATCTAGGTCTCCTATAGCCCTTTTCTCACTACAGTAGACAATACATTCCTATGTTCATACTTACCATGACAAAGTGTGATAGTATGGACATGTTGGCAATGTGCTGTTTGTGTAGCTACAAGATGAGCAGCCTCTAATAAACAACACATTTCACCATGAGGATTTTTGTCGTCACAGGCCTGAATATGAAGGCTAAACTATAAGTTACTCTTAAAGGTAAATCTCATTATAGCCATAGATGTTTAGCAACGGTATGTGCCTGAAATTAATTAATTTCCATCTTAAATCTCATACCAAATGCATTTAAACAAAAATACGCCCACCTCAATACACCAAACTAACAAATAGCACGGTGTGAAGGAAGAAGATAATGAAAGATATCTCAGTGAAACCTTACCTGGTACGATATGTAACCTATGTCAGCAGTGTGATCCTTCGTATTATCTTCAGTGCTCCCACCACGGATCCAAAATAATCCTTGTGATCATCGCATTGCTGTTTTGACGTCCTCTCAGTAAAGGCAGCTCCGCGAAGCCAGGTAATTCATCAATGACATTAACTGTACATCGTGCCCAATTCATTTGCTGTATGACCACCAGCACCACGCTGAAGAACTGCAACTTTTTGCTGTAATTGGGGCTATTCTTAGTTTCTCGCCTTTAAACACATAATTGGCTTATCGCTGTTGACAGCGACAGGTCAGAGCCACCAATAGCGGATGGCGTGGGATCAGCTACACCGCTTTAACTAATCTGTCTGACGCCCAAAGGTGCGGTGGCTCTCCGGTGGTAGGTGCGCTACAAAGAAGCATGAGAAGGACGAACGATCTCGGCCAAACGAGTGGATTGTAGCCTGCTGCTATAGGGCTGCTCCCCCACAATGATCATAACACTGCGGGCTCTCCTCGAACAAGGGGTAAGAAAGCGTAGTAGCCTTGTCTTGCTGCAGGAGTCGGTGCTGGTAGGTTTATCCATGCCGCTTGCCTTCTCTATTGCGCGCAGCTTTTTTCTGCAGGCCCCGGGGTATCTGCGCAGGGACCAGGATACATAACAACCATTCAGGCCTGTCAGGAGGGCGCAGGGAGAATTTAAACTACTCAGCGCTAAATTAACGTAATTGTAGCCTACCTAATGTCCTTATTTAGTCACGTGCCTTCGCAGAGCATGCTGCATACCGTCGTTGTTGTAGCGTATAGAAGATTATGCATGAACTCTACACGGTACCCTAACTATGGATTTCTGCAGAGCCCTAATGCATGTCATAGTCCACCAATGGTCCCGCAGTTAAATATGGACAGGAGATAAGATCCAAGGGCTAAAAGAAGATAATATTGCTCTGATGACAGTGATGATGCAAATAATAGCCCTCAAATCTTTAATAAATGCATATGATAACTGCAGCATTTGTATCCTGGAAACATATATAAAACCTTTTATGCTTTGCCCATTGGTCCAAGTATGGAAATAAACTAACCAAGGATCTGATGATGCAAATAGCTGTCAAATCATTTGTCAATGGATATGATAACTGCAGCATCACCTTTGACCCTGGAAACAGATATAACACCTTTTATGCTTTGCCCATTGGTCCCATATGGAAATAAACGAACCAAGGAACTAGTGGGAAATAACGTAAACCTCTTAATTTAATTAAAATCCCAGTTATTTATTTTTGATACTGTTAAACAGGTATACTGACATAAAACAAAAATAATCATAGCCTATTTAAAAGTATACTTATACCCTGTGTTCACCATCATCCAAGGTACTGTAAGAATCCCATCTGAAAACCTTTATAACTTGGATGTCTGTTAGTCTGCATAAAACAAATAGCTTTATCAGTCATGGAAGCAGGTCTCTTATTTATAGTTTGAATATTAACACAACATTACTAGCATAATACAGACAAAGAAAGAAACATTTCAAATGTGTCCATATACTTTACTATTTTGCTTCATGCTATGTATGTACTGGCTGTTGTAACATTCATCTTTGTGAAAAATGTTGCAGCAAAGACATTTTGTTTTAGTTAGAGAAAAAATGTCAACTCCTTGTTGACCATGCTCAATGAGCCATTAACCATATTGGCACTCCCTCCCAGCTATTCTCTTTATTGTCATCAGGAAAACATTTTTTTTAATGAAATGTAAAAATAAATAAATATGCTGCCTCATATTTCACTCATTGGGAAATTCTTATTTCACATAACATTACATATGTCTCTCATGCAGAAGAAGTTCTATATTTTAAGTAAGGCTAATGTCTGCCCTTTGCAATACATTTCAAATAAAAGCATAACACAACATCTTATGTATCATGTTTTAAACGGAAAAGGGACAAAACAAAATGGAAAGAGATAGATGGATAGGTAGATAGGTAGATAGATAGATAGGCGGAAGGAAGGAGGAAGGATGGATGTAGGAGGCGGTGGGTGTGTCTCTGGATCCGTGACGTACTGCTGGGACGCATGCCCCGTGCGCACTGCGCGTCCTGGCCTGTCAGTTGTAGCCAGATGGAAACGTAGGCAAGTGAATTTTGGTGAGGTCATGTATTTTTAAGCCGCACAACGGAATAAACCATCCTTTACCGGCGGCATAAACAATTAGTCCGGAACATTTCGCCGCAGATCACACCAAGGCGGGATCGATAGTATCGTTTGATGACAGAGGTAAGATGAGGATTCGCACCTCTGCTCCTCAGACGTGCTCATTGTTTGGCCGTGGGGGAGGGTCGTATGTAGCTATTTGCATGCTGCTTAACCACCGTGTTGTTGTTTAACGTTGTTACAGTGTAGCTTCACTTATTACTTACCCGATTTACATACTCTTCGTGTCGTTACAATGAGATGTGTCCGTACATGTTGTAGCCTTTAAATATCGTGTGCAGATTGAAGCTAGCATACGCCGACTGCGCACTGATTCACAAACAGGCCCTGTCATATCGCGATATGACTGTCATTAAGGCTACAATAATGTCTTCTTGTGCAGCGGCCGGCGTATTCGCAGTCAAGCGGTTACGGTATTAGCTCCTTTTTGCCGTCTTTACAGTGTTTTACCTGAAAGCTACCTCTGCTTTTAACAGGAAATAGAGGGGTCGTGTGGCCAAGGTTAACACGCTGACAACGAGTTAAAATAAAAACGGGTCGATAGTGTTGCTCCACTGTTAATATAGGCCCGGAGAAGGAGCAGGGTCTGCTTTTCCTCTGTCTCTCTCCGCCCTGCTGACACTTTTCATGTGTGGACTGGGAATATGGCTGTTACAGTTTGGGCATATATAATGGGAGAGCTATTGTATCAACAAGGTAGATTATAATAAACGTCTGCAGTTCAGATTAGTTCTTGTTTTTCCTCATCTGCTGTTGCGGGATGCATCTAAATTGGAAGAACACAATATTCAAATTATGTAAGGAACATTATCATACAATTAGATTTTTTAATTACATTTTATAAACAAGAAAGCTACTTCATATTCTGTTGTGTTAATAAGTGATGTTACAGTTTTCCAAGGAAGGGCATTTTTGTAATTTGTTTAATTTATGTTTACCAGTGCCATGATCTGAATTGTCCTTGAAGTATGTGCTTCTGAAACCATTCATTAAATCATTAAGCAAAGCAGCCTATAGAAAACAGAGTTTAGGTCATTAGAGAGCAGTGTGCTCCAGGAATGACCTCCCCATATTTATGCTTTTGCTGGATACATTTTGAGACTATATGTATTACAGTTCGCTGCCTTCAAATCCTCAAACCACGAGGTCCAGACCTCTTACTGTAGGTGCTGCTGAGACTACTGATGTGGCTGCTGCACTCCTTATAAATACTGCAGCTGACACATAACTGCAATCTAATGGAAGGCCATTGATTTCAGCAGTATTTGCCAATGCAGCATGTAGTTAAGCGTCAATACTAGTTATTTCTCAGCAGGGGCAGTGGTATTAACACAGTGGGTTTTAATGTGATCCAATGTGCCTGTGATTCCCTCCCTGCAATGACCTGACCTCAATTACCACCTTGAATAGCCATTATTATAATCATGATCTTACTACAAAGTAAGTGTCTATACCACCCACATCACTGCACACTACCTGCAATGTCAAGCCTTCATAACTAGCCAACAGAGATGATGGTAGGCTAATTGTCTTCCTGTCTGAAAAATAAAAAGAAGCGGCATGTCTATTTTCATGTTGTGAGGGAGGCGGATGTTATGTACGTCTTTGTGACGTTGAACGAACAGAAGGAGAGCTGACTCATTTTTCTCTGGCAATTATATCCCTCATATGGACCGAGTGTCGGCAGAGTGAAAGAGTGGGGAGTGTGATTACGCTTATATAAGAATTGAAGAAAGGAAAAGGAAGCTGAATATTCCTTTTTTGATTTTTAAGGTGGTTCTGTTGACTTGAAATACGTTTGGGAATATCATTCACAGAAATGTGGCGTCTCTGTGTTGCGTGTTGTCTGGACTCACAGCCGCATGGTGCAACTTGACCCAGTTAGCATGTGCCTGTGGAAGACCCGCTTGTAGAACTGGGCTTGAGTCCTGGGCTGGGGTCCAAACTCACAGGAATTATCACCTAGCTTGGTTTTCCAGTGTGACAGTCACTATGAGAGTCGTGTTTCACATGATGGAGTAGACCTTCTCGTTGCCTGCTGTTCTGTCACCACCACTGCTGATGATTTCAAATCCTCCATCCTGGTGTGTTTGCTGAGTTGCTTGGATAAGGAAACGCAGTGCTCGCCTCAATTGTGAAATTCAGTAATATCTTTTCTCCTTTCCTTCTAGTTTGCTTTCTTTTGAGCAGAGATTTCATTTGACTGTCTTTTTGCTCATCTGCTGGTGTAGTCCTGGAACAAATATTTAATTGTGTCCCTGTCTTTGTGTACACAGAGGACATTTTTGGATGCACAGAGAGAAATAATAGAAGACCTCGCCATGAACAAAAACAAGAAAGAAAGAGAGTTCTACAGCCTAGATGTTGGGGACTCAACGTTTACAGTACTCAAGCGATACCAGAACCTGAGACCCATCGGCTCAGGAGCTCAGGGAATCGTCTGGTGAGTGATGCAACCTGTCAACATTTTTAGTCAACAGCTGATTGCAAAAATAAAGGTCACTGATATGTTACCAGAACGATCATGATTAAGAATCTATATAAACAGTAAATTGTAATACTCTTTTTGTACTTGTACTTTATGTTGTTAATGAAAATAGGAGAGCTGTTTAGACTATTGAAGTCATAATACATAACCTGTAATGTTTACTCATTTTCATGCTACATCTGTGACCATATTTTAAAATGATTTGCTAACTATGTTCCTCAGCTCTGCCTATGACCAAAACCTGGAACGAAATGTTGCCATCAAGAAGCTGAGTCGGCCGTTTCAAAATCAAACCCATGCCAAGAGGGCGTACAGAGAGCTAGTCCTAATGAAATATGTCAATCACAAAAATGTAAGTTTGCAAATAAATTCACTCGCATAACCAGTGGGAGACATGGTGTTTGAGAATGACAACATGTGTATGGAGATTGTATGCTTTAATGTATGTGCTTTACTTTATGTAACTGACATGACACCACTGTTCTGATTCATGTCATTTTATACCCACAGATCATCCACCTATTAAATGTATTTTCACCACAAAAAACATTAGAAGATTTCGCAGATGTGTAAGTATTTAGAGCAGTACGTTTGCATACAGTATGTGTCATTTCTGTGATTGAATTATTTCCTTCTCGTATGTTTGCTGAAACTGTTTCTGCCCTGTCAGATACTTGGTGATGGAGCTGATGGATGCTAACCTGTGCCAGGTCATTCAGATGGAACTGGACCATGAGAGGCTGTCCTATCTGCTCTATCAGACATTGTGTGGCATCAAACACCTGCATGCCGCCGGAATCATTCACAGGGTAAGCATCAGCTGGCTATGTCTGCACAGACTAACGCCACGCAGGTTTCCTGACAAAAAGGGAACCGTTAAACCCTCTGTGACACTTTACACTGAAATGTGAGGGCAGTATTTTAATGACCAACAAATCTTTAAAATAAATTGGAGATATAAAAAATCTCGTTCTATACTTCAACTATTGTTGATGAAATGTCTTTGAACAAAACACTGAATTTCTTGCTACTTTTCTGAGGTTTATATAGGGTTGGGAACCGAAATTCGGTTCCAGATGAGAACCGATAAGAAAATGCCGGGTACCCATACAAAATACACAATTTCTGTTCTGCTTAACGGTTTCTAGATGCGATAGACCCTGTATTCCACCGGGTCCGTCTGCGCCGCGGTGACCTGGTGGAATACAGG